GGGGGTCCATAAGGGGGTCCATAAGGGGGTCCATAAGGGGGTCCATAAGGGGTCCATAGAGGGGTCCATAAGGGGGTCCAAAAGTGGGGGTCCAGGTTTTGTACCGACCCGAGTCATACAGTATATTAAGCCAATTATATGAGCTTTGAACAACTGTATGTTAAATTATAAAAATCTTGCCCGCTATTCTATAGGATTTTCTTAAAATTTGGTATATTGTGCAAAATTATATGCAAGTCCGAAAATGAACGAAAATCCCATTCAAGTAATTGGACTGTAGTACGCGCGTTTTATACTAAGCCAATTATATGCCTTGCGAGGAACTTCCTGTTAATTTGTAGATTTTGCGCCCGCTAATCTGTAGGAATTTCATTTAATTTTATACAATATATGAAATTTGAAGAAAATCCTATAGAATAGCGGGCAAGATTTTTACAATTTGACACACAGTTGTTCAAAGCTCGTATAATAGACTTAATACATATATGACGCGCGAAGTACAGTCCTGTTTGAGTGGGATTTTCGTTAATTTTCATGCTTGCACAACTTATGTGCAAGTAACCATTTGAAAGAGCATATAATTTTATACAATATATGGAAGTTTAAGAAAATTGTATAGAATAGACGGCAAGTTATGAATGGTTTAAATTAACAGGCAATTTTTGACAGCGCATGCACGTCTAAGGGCCTGTTTATATGATCCCGCCTAGACGGGACGGGACGTTTTCATCCCGCCTAGACGGGATACTCGCCTAGTGTTTAATGGACAAAATACATTGCCGGGATGAAGCCATTTAAGTGCTTGACGTCATATTTTTGTTGCAATAAAGGCATTTACGCATGCTCAAAAGGGAAAATTCATCCCGCCTAGCCGGGATGAAGTGTTTATATGGGAATTTCTCGTCCCGGCTAGGCGGGATGAAGTGTTTATATGGGAATTTTTCATCTTGCTCAGGCGGGATCCCGGTATCTGTTGCAGAGATCCCGTCTAGGTGGGATAAGTGGCGGGATCATATAAACACTCTTTAGAATTTGTATTACGAGCGGGATCTCGGTAAGCATCCCGTCCCGTCTGGCCGGGATCATATAAACAGGCCCTAATTGACTTTATGTACAGTATATCAAGTTTAATTACGATGAGGCGTACTATTCCATTTTGAGACGGATTGTCGTTCGTTTGCAGCTTGCACCACTTACGTGTAAGTAACCAAATGAAAGGGCATATAATTTTATACAATATATGAAAGCTTGAGAAAATCCTATAGAATAGCGGGCTTGGAATTTAATTATTTAAAAACAATTTTTGATAGTTTTTTAGTACACTCACTCAGCTATATTTGGCACCTGCAGGGGTAATTGTTAGAAAAATGTCTTTTTGGACTGCTTTGAGGCGCTTTTGTTGGTTTGTGTGCAACAAAACATAAAGGTATTTATTAGTTAGTTAATAAAACATAAAGGTATTTATTAGTAAATACGAACTGTATGATTTCTTTATTTCTAATTCATCTTCTCTTCCAAATAAATTAGAAATAAAGATATATTTTTCATTTGTACTGAGTGATTGAAATGAGTGAGTTCACGCCATATCGAATATCATGTTAAATGTCATGTTGAATCTCATGCGTACTTCACAGTGGTTTTCTGCATGTCGGCGTGGTTATGAGCCGTCACATTCTCGGTCACATGGACTCCCTTTTTATTTTGGCTTTTTAAGGTATATATATTTCACAGATTCATATATCTCGGAAAATAATACCCCTGGTCCCGGTTGTTCGAAAGGCATTTTACTTTATAAACGGCTTATAAATTCCCTAAAATTCCCCTGGCGTATAAATTCCCTTGGCTTATAAAATGGCCTATACTATAGATTCCCTATCCTGCGGGTATGTAGTTAGCCGGTCGATAAAATTGCGTTGCACAACAAAGACCGTTTAGTGTCGTGTTTAATAAACTACCCGTAGCCGTAGCATAATCTTTATAATTTAAACAGGAGAAAACCGGTCTTCCTGAAATTTCATACCTCTATACTCTAGTCCTCTACACCAGCTGTTGACATTTGAAGCTTTATGTAAGTTGTGTCGTGAGTTGTGAATTAATTTCACTAAGCTTTTGCAATAAAGTTTGTTGTGTATGTTGTTTATATTTGGAGTAGTCTGTAGTCCTCGTCCATTACGTCCATTCGTGATTCGTTGCAATAATTTATCATCTTATCTTTCAACTGCAGTTATATTGCAGGCTCAGGTGCGAAATTGAATTCCGAATTGCGCAACTTTGCTACGTTTTCAATCTGGAGCGCTGGCATGTGCTAAAACCTGGACGTTGGACGATGGACGATGGACGATTTTTATTTACAGTCAAAACACTAAAACCCGCAACTTCCGCTCTTGCATGTACTTTGTTGTTATGTATTGCATATTTCGTTGTGTATTAAACTATTTATCAATGATTAACAATAAATTATAGTTAATAATAAAGCAATAGGTTGTCATTTTGTTATCATTTACTATATTTTGTTTTGTATTACCTTAATAGCGGCTGCCAAATTATTCTTATGCAGTGAATCTTAGGAAAAGCCATTCTTTGTTACAAGTAATATTAACATAATAATAATAATATAATATTAGTAATATAATATTAGTAATATTAGTAATATTATTAATAATAATATAGTATTAGTAATATTAGTATTATTATTAGACCCTTAATCCTTATTAACTCAAAGGATGTATAATCCCCACTGATTGGAATTCCTTCAGCAGTGAATTGCTGTTGCGAATATCTTTGGTATTGATGGTCTTGGTATTGGTCTTCTCTTTTATGTCAAGAGCACGATCCAAGCTCGGAAACCATCAAATAATCATGATCATCACAAACATAGAATTTTCTCGGTAAAAACATGATTGAACTTTGCCATGAGAATATATAGGCAATGTTTTGTCTGCGACCGTTCATTCTTTGTTGCAAGCGACCAGGGGCGAAACTTGAGGGGGGTATGGGGGGGGGGGGGATACCCCCCAAAATACGAATCGTCTACATGGAAGATTGCACGCGAATAGGCAAAGTATTTATGAGCGACCGTTCATCCTTAGTTGCAAGCGACGGTACACGGGCACACGGTCGTGAGAGTTTTGGCGGGAATTGCGGTATAATAGAATAATCATTTCCAGGAGTTAAGGTTGGTATAAATTAATAATATTTATTTGTTGTTTTGAATAAACAGATGACAGCGTTCAATCTAATAGGAACACGCTCAGCCATCAGTGGGCCGTTTCCTAATATTTTAAATAGCTGTATCCTGTATAGATCAGAATAGCTCTTTATAGCAGATACCATTTAGTGTTACAGTCAATTTCAGCTGACTTTTCATCGTGAGATTCCGAAATTCGTTCCGAACTTCGCAAATTCGTTGCCAAGTTCAAAAGTTCATAATGAAATTCACAAACAGGTTTGTAAACAAAGCCTCTGATTGTCTATTAAATCAAACCAGCCAATCAAATGCCCAGTTTACAAACCTGTTTGTGAATTTCCTTATGAACTTTTGAACTTGGCAACAAATTTGCGAAGTTCGGAACGAAGTTCGGAATCTTACGATGAAAAGTCAGCTGAAATTGACTGTAAAATACTCATTAAAAATTCATAAACCTTGCAGCAAATCATGTCAGCCATAATATGTCACGTGAAGTGACTTTATATCTGATAAAACTCATCTTCGTTAGTATTCTTTATATAATTCTTCATCCTAATTAGTATGATTATATAATTGTTCATCCCAATTAGTATTCTTTTGTAGTCGTATTTTAAGCTATTCAAAACACTCGAACTCGCGTTTTATCATATCTAAAACGCTCGGCTGCGCCTCGTGTTTAAATAGTACTTAATCATAATACATTATACATGCTCCCTTTCGATAATTACGTCATTTGGGCTGGGAGCCTCGCTCTAGTGAATCGGGAGCCAATCACCTTGCGTAATTTACTAATGAGAGCGAGGCTCCAAAACCAAATAGTATGTGTGACGTAATTATCGGTAGGGTGTATTAGTAGCAAGTCAGACTATTAAAAAGCATGTTTAGGCAACTGGGAACAAGCAGTGCGAAGACAACGTGTTGACAGCTTGTGAACATATTTGTAACAACTTGTTTGCAGACCTGTAACAACTTGTGCGTTTTTACATGTGCACACACGTAAAAATCTCACAACTTGTCAACAAGATGTGTTTGCAACAGGCATGTAAATAGCAAGCTTGTAAACAAGTCAGTGTAACATTATATATATTGCTGTTATTTTATCAAGATTTTTAGATACTACAAGGTTGTCACTCACAACTTGTTGAATTTCAGGACGATAACAAGTTGTTGGAGCAACTTGTAACAAATCTGTTGAGCTTAACTACCTTGTAGAAAGTTGTTAACAAGCCGTTGACAACTTGTCAACAAGCTGGGAACAAGCAATGCGAACATATCCTGTTGACAAGTTGTTGGAACAGCATTGCTACAAGTCTGTTACAGCAACTTACAGGTTTGTTACAACTTGTGCGTTTTTACGTGTGTAACTCGATGATTCCATATAAACAGAACGCTTGTTTGTCCCGTCTGGGCGAGTAACTCGCCTTGCTGGGTAACTCGCCTCCATATAATATAAACAGGTCCTATGAGAGGTTCATCATGAGCTCCACCTTTGAATTTACTATATGAGTATAAATTACTAAACACGTCCGAATTATCAATTTGATAAATTCGCGGCCCCTAACACTAATCCTAACCGCAACCCTAACCTCTAACCCCTAACCCTAATCTAACTTTAACTTTTTTGAAAATCTTGCTTTTTTAAACTTTTTTAATAAATTTTTTTTTGAAATTCTGAAATCTTTTTACGGGAACTAACACTTTCGAATACGCTGAGTTCAAATCTGAAGTTCCCGGCCGTTCTGTAGACCTGCAGTTTTCTCACAAACTGCCATTTTATCTTCAGACACTAATTTCACGACAATTTTTTTCATTGTTCAACAACACGGATCGATGACGACAAACGATCATGTCACTTAAAAGGACCAATTTCTATTAACCAGTCTTCCTTTTAACAAAACACCGTTTTAGTTTGCTCGAATCATTTTGAGTTATGTAGTTATGCGTGTTGGACGTAAACAACATATCTTGTCTACAACTTTGAGAAGGTACAGATAACGCTAAATCACTAGTCCATAATATTTCGTCCATTTTTAGCCACTTTTGAATAACCCATTTATTTAGCTTCTCATCCATTTTTATCATGCACCTTTTTATTTTTGAAAAATAGCTAGGACAAAAATCGTAAAAATATTAAAGCCTAGCTAATCCACTAAAGTTTTATCCACCTTTTTGTATTTGAAAAACAGCAAAAAGTTCCAAAAGTAAAATCCCGTCGGAGGTAAAATATTCTTCGGAAGTAAATGTATCGTAAGGACTCAACTATATACATTTTGGCAATGGCCAAATGTTTGTGTAGTGTTAGCCCAGTCTTCCGAATCGCTGCCTATATATAAGCCAATTCTGAGTTTCCATGACTGCGCACCCAAATAACGCGTTTGGCGCCGGAAAAAAATGCATTTGAACTGTGACAAGTTTGCCAATAATGGGTCTTATGAGTCTATCATTTTAGAAACCGCGCCGAATATTAGGCATTATAAGGCAGAAGATCTACTACAGTGCCCATGCAAACCTTCGTGGCCAAAACGATATGAACGAAATCGCGTCGGCTTCGGCTACCTTAGCCTAAAGAATAAGGTGTCAGCTAGCTTCCTTCCTGCGCACTTCCTTAGCTGAAGATTCCATGTAAGACGAATCTCATCGGCGGTAACTCCGTCAGAGATAGGGACGTAAAGTTGTTTTATTAACACGAACATATCTTTGCCAATGATGATATTCTGAAAATGTTTTTTATACTTACCATTTTAGAGTCCCTGCAAATAATTCGGGTTATAAAACCGCACGATTATATTCGTGCCCTTCGTGGCCTAACTTATAGCATGCAGGATAGGTATAATGTATATGTATAATAGATATATAGATAGGATAAGGTGTTGGCTTTCTAAGTCGATGATAGCGGGTTGCAGTTCCGTCTCAGGACCTGAGACTCTGACAATGCTGAATTTGTGAATCGTGGACGCCCATTGCTCTCATTGTTCCTGAGCAGCTGCTATGCCTATGGCAATACTTCTTGCCATCAAGGCTAGTTGCGGCCTAGGACCACAAACCGTCCTATTATGCGTTATAAACATGCACGAGATCTATATTCCGTTTTTATGTAAGCATTTGTGGGTTAATGGATAAGGCGATAAAAGGATAAGGTGGATAGGGCGTCGCCCTCTGATAAGGCGTCGGTTTCCTAAGTCATCCTAAGCGAAAGTGAGAACAAAAGAGAAAGATAATTGCGGGTCCAAGTGTTGTCCGAGGTAAGGAGGCGTCGGAGTTAAGGAGACACATAAATAATTCGTGATAGTGGACGTAAGGAGGTACGGACGAAGACAGGCCTAGGTTGGGAATCATCTTCTCAAAATATTTTGGAAGCTTGACATTTTATTTAAAATTTCTGCGGATTAATACGGGTTATAAGGCAGCAGATAATAGCGGGTCGAGAGGGATACAACTGCCAACCAAACAGAAAGGTCGTGCTACCAGGTCTTGTACGCCATTTGTTCGCAAGGCGTGAGAAAGAGTGAGTCGAGTGGACTCTGGAGAAACCATAGCACGTCAAGAATAGTGTGCTTGCGTATTGGTTAATGAGCAATTAGTTATAACATATACTTCACGTGATTGTCTGCTTGCATGCAAGACCCTGTGCGGTAGTGTACATCATCATATCACACTATATATATATATATATATATATATATATATATATATATATATATATATATATATATATATATATTCGGAATATTTTTACACAACATGTGCACAAGGAAAGTACACAAAACACCGCACACCCTATCTATACCCATGCATCTATACTATGCAATATTTTATGATACGGTCTACAAAGAAACCAATAACTTAATAAGGCCTATAAGAAAGTTGCACAACGAAAAATCCCAAACGTCTGTATAGAGGTCCAATTACCTATATCTCAAATACAATATACTACATCCTCACTCGAATACAGTGACCAAGGAAAAGGGTTTATTATACGGCCGTGCAATCGGACGATA